GACCAGGAGGTGATGTTGTCCAAGAAGCATTGCAAATTGGTCAATGAATCTGTGGCGTGATTGTGTACACCAAGGATCAATTCATCAGCATACTTCAGTAGGATGGCTTCCTTTGGAGCGGGAATAGAGTTACTGTAGATGAAAGATAGAAATGGGGACATATTAGCTTCTTGAAGAACACCTGAATTTGTTTCGTAGCAGCGCCATGCTACCCCAGGCAGTTAGAACCACCAAGAATTTGGAGTGAAAACATTCACTGGTCTATTTGTAGTAGATGATCTCTGGCTTCCCATCATTCACGCTGCGCGCTGCATGAACAGGAGTCGATTAAATGGTGGATAATCATTGTTCCCTACTGCAGCGAACGTCCTCAGTTGATATGCGGTATCAGCATCCACGATCCCGGCACAGCATCTTTTTCATCTTCGTCGTGTCGCCTCGATGACTGGATCATATTTGGATGTCGTGTAGATCCAAACTTCATGAACATGCATCCAAAGTTTAGGTTTTAATCGTGCGTAACACTTCTTTGCTGTGGGCACAAACAATGAACACAGGGTTGCAGTGTAAAAGCGATTTCGTCTCACTGTAGGGGGAACGGCAAGCCTGCATTAATGATGTCGAGTGTGGCAGGTATACCAGATATTCAGTTTGCGAAATACCTTACCTAACAATATCGATTCATCATGAATTTCGAATTACGAACTTTACGCACCTGATTGTTGCGGACCATGCCTCCACACAGTCGTTTCCATAGAGGTAGACGACTTAAGCCACGCAGTCACATCAATTCGCTCCGATTTGACCGCCCATCATTCAAGTAGTGTTCAACGTTTCTGACCCGGCTAACCAGATGTTTCAAATCTCCAGGGTTCAAATATCCGAGTTGCTGATACTGTATCTTTTCTCCAGCGTCCTGGGAGTGCAACAACCACTATCTGATCTTACTGGATAGCCTTAAGCAAAGCAACCGTTACAATGTACTTAAACCAAAGTCATGCACACATCATACTTGTTTTAAATCCATTTTCCTATTATCTACATTCATCTTTTAAGCTTTTTGTATTCATATTCTAAAGCGGCTTACCAGTGCTTTGCAGACATTCTATTCAACAGCAGATAACACAGGGAAACAACAGTCAACTCCGCCAATCAAGCTCCGCAAAGTACAGCGAGGAGTTCCTGCCTCACACCGGGGCTCCGCTACGGTACGCTTCGCTTTTGCATGCCACTCAAGTATGCACTGTTGATGTAAATTCGATTGGTGACGAAACGTTTGCAACGAAATTGCCAACCTCAGAAAACAGTTTAACCGCCAAGGGGCTAATTGCCCTGCACGAGCATACCTCTCCCGGCGTTGATAATACTCGTCCAAAGGCGTTGACATTGGCTGCATTAAACCTGGCGGATCCACTCTGCAAGTTCTTCCAACGATGCCTTGATGAGATGAGGGTGCCAGCAATGTGGAAACAGAGCGTCGTTGCTCCTATCAACAAGGAGGTGGAAGTCGGGCAGATCCGGCCAACTACCGCCCGATAACACTATTTCCAGTGCTCTCCAAAATCATGGAAGCGATTGTTGCCGAAGCGCTCATGAACAACTTGGAGGGACGCAATATCATAGCACAAGAATAACATGAATTTCGCAAGAACCGATCTTATACTTCTAACTTGCTACTTGCTAGATCCTGTTGAACTGAGACTGTCGACAGCTGCGTAGATGTTGATGCAGTATATCTGGACTTCTCAAAAGCCTCTGACCGTCTGAAACACCGGATTCTCCTTCACAAGTTGTAGTGTTGTGGAATTGGTGATCTAGTTCTCGGTTGGATAGATAGCTTCTTGTTTCAACGACATCGGAATGTAAGAGTTCGCGGCGTCATATCTGACCGAATGGACGTCAAGTGCGGAGTGCCCCAGGGCTCAGTCCTTAGTCCACGACTCTTTCTGATTTATATAAACGATCTTGCGACTGTAATCACCTCCAACTCCTTACTCTTCGCCGATGAGCTCTGGATATGGCGAGCCATTAGAACAGCCAGCGACAATGCAGCACTTCAGAATGATCTTGACAGAGTCTGCGAATGGTCGACTCAGCACCTGCTACATTTTAACGCTACGAAGTGCAAGGTGTTGAGCATACGCCATAAAACCACTTGCAAATACAGACTGGGGGATCAAATATTGCAGCGCACTTCGACGGAATGCGATCTAGGCGTGACAGTGCAGAAAGATCTGGCCTGTTCCCGTTAGGCCGAGGAAGCCTCAAAAAGAGCTAATCAACACCTTGGACTTCTTCGGAGGACATTCGGGCGCTTTGATCCTTCCATCTCTCCTCAGATGCTCAACGACTACATTCGGCTTCATTCTGAGTATGCCATCCACGCCTGGCAGCCATGGCAAAAGCAAGACATTACCGCTGTTGAAATACCACAACAAAAGGTGACCAAGAACGCTAAGGGCCTGTTTCATCTCTCTTACCGATTGAGACTGAAAACACTCGGGGTCTACAGTGGACAATATCGACAACTGCGTGGCGACTTGGTAATGACTTATATGATCATGAGGAATCAAAACCATGCTTGTCCTCATTTACTAAAGCTGAATCGCAATACGACACTCAGAGGACACCAGCTAAAATTGGCTACATAATACAGCCGGTTGGAATGCCGCCGGAATTTCTTATCCCTTCGTGTGTGTCAACACTGGAACCCTCTTCCCACATACGTTGTTTCTTCCCCCACGATAACGGTATTCAAAGGATGTCTGGATGGTTCGCTTATCCACTTACATTACGCTATATAACCAGTGATGTTTACGTCAACCAAAGTGAACAAACGGTGCTCATTCTCAGCTTTTGTGCTTTGCTACTTTCACGCTGCTGTTGTGGAATATCGTTCGGATACACTACAACTGCATTCATCAATGGCATCAGTCCCCAAAGGCGGCGCACAAGTAAGCGCTATGGTGTCTTTTATTCTTAAGACATACCCTCCCCATATTGCTCTACAGTAAGAACAATACGCATTCTGAAATGTTTATATGAAGCAGGGCATCTTAATCGCAAGACATTGACGACTTACACTTATGTTTGCCTTCACTTCAACCATCCTACGGGACTTGTAAAGCACTTGCTATTTTACCTGTAATATATCATCGTTCAACTCTTATGCTCTATCATAATTGGAAACCAATTTGATTTACTTTTGTACATTTTTCGATCATCCGGGGTTGATGCACTAGCAAATGCTTTTATTTACTAAAACGCCGTCATGGGCATGTCCTGCTGAACAAGAGAATAAATGATTTATGTATTCATGAAACATCTCAGTTTGCGCTCTGAACACGATGTGATGGCTTCTGACCGTGCGCACCGTGTGCTGCGTCGCCTCGGTGTGTTCAGTACAATATAAAATAACTTGAGGGACGTCATGTTGTAGCGAGAACGACAAGACAGGGGGGAGTAGACGTTTATTGCACACCGAAAATGGGCACATGAGGGTCTCGCGCGCGCCATCGAATATCGACTAGATTTCCGTCTCACAACGCAACCCAGGTGCGATGTTAGAGACGAGCCAGTCCTTTCGCCTCGGGAGCTCTGACCTGGAAGATCCGCCTTCCTGTTTTCGCCTCGATCTCCGCTTCTCTGCACCCGATTTGGATCTGCCAGGAGTCGTTTGAGAGCTCTCGACTTGCTTGTTCTGGGCTGTGTCAATCGGCTCGGCCTCGGTCCTGTGGGCTGCGCTAGCGGCGTATTTGTCTGATTTATTGCACTGTCCACATATTCCCGCTCCGTAGTTCCGGGCCCAGACTCGTCGCTAGCCGTCTTTCGCGATCTGCTCTCAGCTAGCTCCGAAGAGCTCCCCAGAGCCATTCTTGGAAGCGGTCCCTCTACAATGTGATCAGGTTTTCCCTATCATGAGACTGGGTTGTTCCGGTTCCATTTCAGACAAGCGATAAAGAATCATTAAAAGTTTGCAATAAGTTCGAATACTGGTAGCTCGACTCGGCTGTTCAAACCTTGTTTGTTGCTTCGAGCTGATCCATCTCTGGATTTAGTAGAAACACAGTACCTGCTAACAAGGCACTTGCCATTGCGCACTGAAGATGCCACCTTGCTTGGGGTCGAAACGTTTGCAATCAAACTGTTCATCTCGGAGAACTAATCATTGGAAGTGATCGATTCACAAACCATTTTGAGGATTGTTTCGCGTATCGTAAAACCAGTGCGGCTTTTTAATGTCCCAACCTTCTATAGCTGGACAAAGTTTCAGCTTATTCATCACGCTGAAGTGTGTAACATCCTAACGTAACTAACTTTGCTATGTGGTTTGAATACTTGACCACCGTTTATTGAGTACCTGAAATGTTGGGGCGCTGGTTCATATGCAGTTCTATCCATCTTGTGCTTGACCACCGATTGAGGAATGCTTACACCCGCTGTAGGGTGGTTGACAAGAAAGCCAATGATGCTGCGGTGAATTGTCTGTGGATGTAAGCCACAATACGTTTCGCAATCGTGCGCGTCTCCTCGTACCTTTTTTGTCCTCACTAGGCCATTAGAGCCAACTCAAGTCATGGAGATTGTATCTAACAGATTGGAACTGATCACCGCACCAACAAACACGCACACACAGAAATACGTAGCTGCCCGATGTTTTCCTGATGTCGTTCAAGAAATCTTAAAACAGTATAATACCTACAAATTCATGTTTTAGTTCTGTATCCGATTGAATACTACTCGTTTGGTATCATTATCGCTTCCTTTAAGCATGTTCGGATGCGTCTTACTCGGCTCGTCCAAATTGTTTTCGTTTTCCTGTACCACAATTAGACACTAGTCCTCGGATGCAGTGGCCAACAGTCAATTAAACTTGGATTTTTGAAATCATTCTTTTGGATTTGTTTACCGCTGAATGACGTCTGTGTTAACGACGGTCCAATCGCTCAGCGTAGGACATGTTTAGCTGCTCCTCGTGACCACAGGTGGGTCACTACGACATGCAAGAATTAGACGTAACGTACACGGTGAGCTAAATTAACTTCATCCATTTTTACTTTCCAGCTTATTGAATTACCTAGACAGCACCTGACCTTCTGGTCTGTTCCCCCCTCAGCTGCCAATGATTGGATTGTTGAAGTGGGTAAATTAATAAATCGAAAATTCCAGTGACCGACCCGTTAATCAAACCTTTCTGCGAGCTTAAAGTTGGCTAAGCGATAAAGCCCAAACAGCAAGTAAGCCAATTCATCACCGTAATATTCTGCTTCTGTACTTATAGCCGAAGTCTCAGATCAAATTTTCAAATCCTCAATCCCTGCCGATTAACCAGTCTAGTAATAGATTACTGTGTGGATTGCAACGGTAACCCAGTTCTTCTGCATTATTTAACTCAATTTCCTTAGCATTATGGTGCGATCTATAAACACACATCAACGCACAAAACTTGGTAAATTTCGCTTGGAGTATAGGTTGTTCAAGAGCCTACTCAAACTGGTAGCAGCGTTGAGCTGTTTTACTCTTCTATGGATAATCTTTCGTCAGTATTGGACAAAGTATGAGTTTCATATTATCCAAGTCGCAAAGCGCGGAATCAAAAGCCCTCTAGACGTTCGATGGTTCCGTGTGTACCCAACGCGAAACGTTACTTTGATCGATCTAAGCACACTGGACTGGCCTCCGGCTCCAGTTGCCCGCATTCCTGCAGGAGTCAGAAACCAAACCGATACGATTGCAACGCTGCCTGGTGCGTTTGAGCCAATAATGAGTAGGGTTCAACGCGATCTATCTGTGCAACTGCTCCGAAAGTTCGCAGACGTTATGTTCGCCAACGGACTTGGTGATCGCTTCATGCTATACGGAGGAACGCTTTTGGGATCGTATCGACACCACGACTTTATCCCGTGGGATGATGAATTAGATGTCCTCGTGGATGTCACAGTCAAACCGAAGGTTAGGGAGGAATTAAGCAAGCTGGCTCCAGAATATCAGTTGTATCAAGGCTGGCCGCGGGACAAGCTTTACACACGTCTCATTAGTCAGGAAGAAGAAGCACTGGATCTGCCATTGAGTCGTCCCATAGCGTCATGGGGATGGCCGTTCTTGGACATATCGTACTATGAGATCAATGAGACACACGTTAAAGACACTGGGACTTCGTACAGTCGTTCTTATGCATGGCCTCTGCAAGTTGTGTTCCCTTTGTATTTTCGTCCGTTTGGAACTGACTGGTATCCGGCACCACGTAATACCGCCGAATTCAATCGTCTAACTTACGCGCCTGGCCCAATTTGTCAAATTCCTGGTTACTCTCACGTGCTTGAAGTTACTGGGACAGCGGCGAGCAAACGGTGTCGGAAACTGGGTAAACGTTACGCTTTTGTGGAGCACAAACCATGTGATTCCATAGATTCGCAGACAATCAACGGTATGTTGTTAGGTGAAGAGCACTTGATGATACGCATTTCGTGCGATACCAAAAAGACATTTCATTCTTTGTGCCTTGCCGTGCCTCAAGAAAGCGTGCTACAGGGCGCTTATGTGATATAAGAGTGCAGTTCACATTTGCTGATAACTGACTCGCGTATTGTACATTCCAGTCACCTACCTTTTCCGGTAACTTCTTTCAATATCGCTTTGCTCGATTTCGATAAATAAAACGGCTATTCTCTTTTCGGATTATTTTGTGCAGATCCCCTGAGTTTCCAAATTGACCCAGCTAACTCTCACAGTACACTGCTATCGCAAATCGTAAGCATTACGTCATCAGCTTGCTTCACTGTATTCAGTGGCCAAACTTGCAGTCACTCAACAACAAACACAGAAACTCGTTAAGTCAACAACGTGCTGAAAGATCATGGTCGCTTGTCCGGACTTTAAGTTTCTTTCCAACAGACCTCTCTAACGATTTCCACTAGATGTGTCTGGCAGTTCAGGGGGCCACCGATTCAAATCTGTGTGCTGCGTCACACAGTATCCCTAGCCCGCACGCCCCTGATGGTGGTCTCATGGCAACGAAACGTCTTTACAGCTACTGTTTTTGTTTGTTTTCTACAAGACATACTCATTCGCCACCACTGAGTGTAACGGAAGTGCCCGTCGAACTATGGTAAGATGTTATAGCACGTCTGTCGGTGCGCTATAGGGCTAATGCGCAGAAAATCAGTAAATGAAAGACAACAGACTTAGAAGTAAACTAAACAAACGTTTATTAAAGGCATACTGCCCTAGAAAGGGCCCAGAGCCGGGATCTAGATTGGGACGTATGAACGCACGGAGTGTTCGTAGCTGGCAACAAGCGGTGCGAACACATTCCGTGACAGACAAAACGCATGTGTGCTCACACAAACAAGCGAGAACAAAGTTGGAATCGCCAAACCACTTGCGTTCTCTCGGCACATGCCGAAACTATATTACGCAACATTTTGCAACAAAACTGGAAAAATTTTATTTTCCTACAATATATCGTTATCAGAATGACGCTAGTATACAAGTAGTTAAGAAAACAATCTGTACCTTTATTTCAACTAACGACCCTTGCAAGTCCTGCAGGAGAAATGTGCAGCCTTATAGAATAAGTGTTAAAGGTATACCGCGTCTCGGTGGGGTTACCGCCAGGTTGGCATGAGGGCTGACTTTGACTGTGTTATCCTGTTGCCAAATAAATCGACCTAAGTCCCGTAGTATAGGCAAACTAACGCATCATCAACCCGCTCTTTTAAACTTAGATAACTTAGGAGCGGAAAAGATCGAAGTCGAAAGCAGGTCCCACGAGTAGCACACATGAAAAGAGAACGAGTTCCAGTGGCATTGTAACTGGCTAAACTGTGTGGCCAGTTTTAACAGGGTGCTGTTTTGGTTGTTTCAATATGTGGTGGTATATGCCGTTTGGGTCCTTAGGGATCTGGTGCACCAGTGCTAGATCAACGCACAGACTGTGATAACGTCCACTGAAAATTCACAGAGTATTCAATCTAGGATCATATGGGGCGTGAATCAAGCTGCTCACCACCCAGTCATTCTTCATTGCGTAACCCCGGAAACAATGAGCACATGCTTTTGCTAAGCGTTGGGTAGAATATTTCAACGGGGATCCTCATTTGAGCTTTCACTACTTTCAGACCTACAAATGTTGTCCACAGTAGGCTTAATCATTGACTAAAATTTCGTGCAGTTTTTCAGCCTTACTTTAGATGCCAATGTCTTCGGAGATGGCTTTCATGGTAAGCAGGCTGCCAAATCTGCTCTCTTAACAGACACGCGAAGATGCTCTGATGACGTATACCGCGTCGAAGCAGAGTATGCAGTGAGCCAGTTACTCACAGGCTTTGTTGAATCTGCCTTTTAGTGTCATGTGGGTGAAGACAAGAATATAGTTGGTTCTCATTCTCATGAGATCACCTGTGAAAGATAGGAGCAACCTTGGTCATATGGGACACCACGATGCATTTCTGTTTAGTTCGACAAGACTTCGGGGATCATCCACTCAGGTACCATCTATAGGGAAAGTACTTGTTCGACACAGAGCACGATTGTGACCGAGCAGCAGATTGTGAGGTATAAAGACTTGATACAAACGATCCAGATGCATTCGATGAGTCCAGGTCGTTAGAATCATATTGTTCCAAGGTATCCGTTGATTCAGCCCAGCTTCCATGGAATGTCGAATTTTACATGGTGAATGACTGGTTTTGACAAAAACCGAGCTGCTCCTTTACACTAATTCTACAGCTTTCCCCCAATCTCCCAAGCATGCTTGTATAGCGATGGTCTCCATGTAGTCAGGAAGCATCAAAAACTGAGTTATCAGGCGTTATTTTGCAAGCTGAGCACAATGGTGTCACTTGCAGATTCCAAGGACCACTTCGTGCTTCTAACTAATGGGAACATGCATCTTATCGTGACACTGTTGAACTAATTGAGAAAGGTTCAGTGTACTCCATGATTGTTACCTTCAATTACTTAATGCGAACGTCATATACATCAGTAAAAGCGAGCTTTTTCAAAATCATCAGGTATGGTCTGTGTGAGGATGGTGAGAAATATCGGTGCAGCCTGGAAATTACAAACAACCCATTGTCTTGGAGTGTTGGCCGCTTTTGTGAATTTTACACCTGTCTTCATACGATACGTAGAGCAGGCCTACCGCTGCAGTTTAAGGTGCATGATAGCATACATGCTAGTGTGTCACTTTATCCACTCGGATCATTCCGGTGCCATGTTTCTACTTGGCTTCTACTTTTCGACGCTCGGAGCAGCTTGTCAAAATGAATCCCCCTCCTCAGACGGAGCTTCAGCTCCTTTTAGCTGCTGATTTCAGATTGCAATGCGCTCGTCATTTACATTTTGACCACATTAACGAGCGAAGAAAAAGCTGGTATGGAAAGTACTCAAACTCATACGCTTGTATTCATTCAGTCTAGTCCCCAATCATCAAGCACACATGAATTTATCAGTATAGGAGAGGGATGTTGGCATTGGTTCGATGTCAATTTGTGCTTTCATGTGACAGGTGCCTGCTTCTTTGATCAACGCTTGATGTCCGACACATCGTGTAAATGGTACCTTTTATCTGCTGCCCCGTACAGTGTGACAGCAATAATAATAAAAATAATAATCATCATAGTAATATTTCTCGTTAAATGAGAAGCTGCGTCCAATTTGGCGCTGGTTAAATGTTTATGGGTTGTACCATGCTCTTGCCTGTGCAATATGAATTTGTGTTGAATAAAAGTCAACGGTATATCTCGTGTCGGTGCGAGGTGCGGTCCAACTGGATATTACGATTTTCGGTGTACGGCAAAATCGCGAGGAGCAGATGTTATATTTTCCATACTTTCCAAAGCAGTTCTCAAGCTTTTGGCGGACGTGACTAATTGGTAGGTAAAATATTTCGGGAAGATTGTGAGGTTTAGAAAGATAGCAAGTGTAGATAAATAGAACTTATGGGTGAAGTATTGCGGCCATTACAGTAACCGCCTCCTGGGAACCTGCTTCTATGCGGGTAATTCTCGCGATAGATTTCACTCGCAATTCCATGCCTCATTCGGCCATGTGCCGATGTGCTTTTTTTAAAACAGGTAAGCCATCACTTATGTAATTCTTTTTTAGCACCGCTTGTGTAGATATAGTGTGAACAGCCAAGCCATCTAGCCCGTACCATTAGCTGGTTTTTTGAGTAGAGAATATTCTTATCGCCAGGGAACCAACCGTAATGCGATTTGCATGGGTATTATTATTAACATTGGAAGCTTAAGTCCGTCACTTCAGGAGATCGACCCAGTAGTGGTCAATAGTGAAGTAAAGAAGAATATAAAATATGTGCGCAAGAAAGACGGATCAAATTGTACAGGGGAAGTGTGGAAAATGGATGACTGCTCAAAGTATCGATTTGCTAGACAGTTCTGAAAATAATTTTCAGATTCGTCATCATTTGCTTGCGTTCAGAAAGTACGGCAATTGCTAACGCGTCCGGGACAGAAAAGATCCTACTTAACATTACAGTATGAGTGTAAATTAGTAATCACAGAGAAAAATAAATGAATAATTTATGTCTCGATAGTGCGGGACACGGAATGTAGGGTTAATCCTATCATAATTGTAATTGAATCATCAAGACGAGCTTGCGTTCAATCCGATCTGGACGGCCGACAGCTGTAGGGAGTGATATTGATGGGTTTCGGTAATCTCTCTGCAATGTGTTCATTGATTCCTCGGGACAGAAAAGAGAGTTCGTTAGAAGCGCGGAACAAGGTTGTGTTAGGAATAAAAATATGGTAGAGGAGGGTTAACTTCGAATCAGAGAAAATTTTTTCACTTGCTATATGGCGCTCGGCCATTCTTCATACAACATGGCTATTCCAATGGCTTTCCAATGCACACCGGAGCCAATTCAAAGCGCCTAGTCTATGCAACTTTGGTTATCCTTATTTTGTTCCGCCATGTCTACCTTTGTGTGCGGTTTCCCAGCTGACCGAGGGACTTGGACAGGCAGGTACTTAAACATGATAGTTGCCAGTTTTACTGTAAAAGTGATGGACTTACCGCTTTTAACGCAGTAATCTTTCTCTCCGCACAAGCGATTTAGGTTGTTTAGAAGCAGGTATGCCATTATTAGGTCGCAATAAACATATCGGAAAATGGAGATGTCGAATTGCCCGAATACCCGTCTCAGCAACCCGACCTGTTGATTACCAGTTTCTGATGCCTTTCCCGATTGCTCGAAACCACTCAAGTCATTCTGAAACAGCACGCCTAGGTTGTGTTCGACGGAAGATCACTGCAGTACTTGCGTTCCGAGAATGTAGCAGTAAGCACCCTGATGTTGTACGGAGGATAGCTTACATGTGCTTACGTAGACACGCAGCAACTTCCTGTTTGACCACTGAAAGTGGTGTTTTTTTTACTTACAGCGCTTCATTGGAAGCTAGTTTTCAGTCTACCGACTTGCCCCCCCCCCCCGTAAATGTGTTTCAACATGAGCTTCGAGACAAATACGGGCACATCGAAAACGTATTTCTCACACTTACGTCAAACTGTCTACTTTAATG